AAAAAACCTGTGAATTAATTACACTCTTAAATGAGATTGCACTATATATGTCATAATAGCATCTTAACTGCATGGAGAAATAATAGTGAATACATGTGTGAGAATGAATTGCTTTAGTCTTTTAATTTCTCATATAAAATAATATGGATTTACTATTCTATTGCAATAAATTTGTAGCCTTTTTAAGACTCAGAAGCCCAAAATGTGGGAAATTAGTGTCTGTAAGAAAAAATGTACAGGTATTGAAACCAATAAACTCTGGTTTTATTTCTGACTCTGCTTCATTTGCTGAACTTAACCCAATGACCTTGAGCCTCAATTTTCTCATCTGTCAAAAATAAATGTTAGTACATTCCTTACCAGATCTAATTATTAAAGAGAACAAATTCTAAAATAGATGCAAAATCTGGATGAAACTTTTAAAGTACTATACAAAGTATTCACATCGTTTATTATTAGAAATAGCATTAACTGTTTAATGCCTAATTTTAACAAATAAATCAAAACTTGCTATTAAATAGAAATATATCCAAAGTGAAGGTGTAATTTTTATGAGCTTGATAACAAAATATTTTTTTCTTAAGAAATCTCACGGTGACTATGTCACCGTGACATAGTCTTTAAACTGAGAGGCCCTCTTAATATCAAAAAGAGTGAAATTATTAACTGAAAAATTGGGTTAAATAGAACTTCATAACACTCTTTTGATATTTTTTACCTTATATCATGGGAAAAAGTATGTGCCTTAACTCGCATTCAAATCATAAACTCTTTGAAGACAGTGTTCCTGTCTGTTTCATCTTTGCAACCTTCACAGAGCCTGTAGTACATAGTTGAGAGCACAGTAATTATACGCCACAGGCATCCAACAGAAAGAGAAGCAGTTTACTTTCAGATCCAAGTCTATCTAACATTACAGTCTTATGCTTTCCTGATGTTATCCCAGCACCATAAACTAGTCACTCAGCTTGCAAAACAGTGTGTAAGGTTCTATTGGTAGCAGGTCTTCCACTTATATGTAAGATTTCAGTTAGCCTATATACTTGGCTTCTAGGTTAGAGACTATTTCAGCTCTCCAACTCATGTTCTTCTCACTGCTCCCACCTCTCCCACTTTTGCCTGGTTGGTTCTTTTCCATAAAGTAAAGATACCTGGAGTCCTTTAACCCTAAAGAACAAAGTAGTCTCCTGGTAGTATTTCCTCTATCCTAGACAGAAAAGAAGACGTGGTTCCCACAGAATCCCTCAGATTCAAATTCAGGTTGGATAATTTATATTTTGAAAACCTCTAAATATCAATATTCTCCATCAGCATCCCTGTTGATATCAAACTACTGAAAATTGTCGCTACTTCCAAGTACCATGTTTTTCATCTTGCCCTGTGTTTCCAGTGGAACCACACCATGGCTGGGTGCCTCCTGCAGACATTGACGTGTAAAGTTGTCAGTTGGAACTACCTCATTGCTTGCTCATCCTGGCCTTGCTCTCTAACATCTGGGACATCAGAGGGAAAACAAAAAAACTACTGTTCTTCCTAGAAAAAAGTAATATCCAAAGAATCGATTAATTGATGTGGTCGTACCCAAACCATGTTCCTCAGAAAGCTAGCCCCTGGAGATGCTCCACCAAAAAAAAAAAGAAAAAAGAAAAAGAAAAAGAAAGGAGGAATGAGGGAAGGAGGAAAAGAATAAGGAAGGAGGGAAGGAAGGAAGGAAGGCAGGCAGGCAGGCAGAGAGGGAGGGAAGGAAGGAAGGAAGGATGGAAGGAAGGAAGGATGGAAGGAAGGAAGGAAGGAAGGAAGGAAGGAAGGAAGGAAGGAAGGAAAGAAGGAAGGAAGGAAAGAAGGAAACAAGGAAGGAAGGTTGGTTGCTTGAGTGAGAGAAAAAAGGAGAAATATTCTTGTGATCAAAAAAAAGTGTGGTGCCTGTAATCGCAGCACTTTGGGAGGCTGAGGCAGATGTATCACCTGAGGTCAGGGACCAATATGAAGAAACCCATCTCTACTAAAAATACAAAATTAGCCGAGTGTGATGGCACATGCTTGTAATCTCAGCTACTCGGGAGGCTGAGGCAGAAGAATTGCTTGAAACCAGGAGGTGGAGGTTGCAGTGAGCTGAGATTGCACCTTCAGTGTGGTAATCATTTCACAGTGTATATGTAAATCAAAACATGATGTCACATACCTTAAATTTATGCAATTTTATTTGTTAATTTCATCTCACTAAATCTAGAAATAAATAAGTAAAATTGATGACATTTTGCTGAAAAGCAGAAAGCAAACAAAAATATGAGAAATTTTGCATACCTTAGTATTTGCTTGCAAATTGATAAGAGATTTTCACCCACCCTTACTTCCCTAAAAATAGGAAAGATACTTCTACTATGTCCCAAAGGCTACTACTGACTCATGAAAGGTACTTACTAAACATTTGCTAACCAAAAAATTAAATGCATATTCAATTCTAAACACTGAGAAGAACTACAATTTAAACACTTTTTTCAGTTTTGCTTCACTCAGATTTACCCAAATATATCTAAACCCAGAACACTTGTTTCAAGGAACATCTTTAAATAGCACAAACAAACAGTGTTTTCTAGATCAAATTCTAGGAAGTGTTGATGGGTACCATAAATCAAGACAAAGAAAATCCACTTTGCTCTACAGATTAGTGACTATTTTGTTTGAATTCTCTGGAATCTTGAGTATTCCTGGAAGCAATCAGACCCTTATCCAGTTATTAGACTCTTACCTAATTCCCATTAGAGAGGGTTGTTAGACAGGAAAGTAGAGACCTTAAAACCTCTTACGTTTGCTCAGTTTCCTGACATCATGGGTATATTAACCAGTTCAATTGTAGGAGATAGTCTAGCTTCATGTTCTCTAATAGTTTATTTCCCTCGGACTGTGGAAACACCAATTTACCATCTTTATCAGATTTTTGAGATATACATACAACTCTTTATCCCAATGTCAACACAATTTCTTAAAGCTTAAGAATAAAAAATATCTTGCATGTTACTCAGTGACCTAATTCTGAAATCACAGAAAGAACTAAGAATTCTCAAAGAATTTTGAATTCAAAAGTCTGAGTTTTACATTTTTAAAAGCTTTTTGAAAGCGACATGGGGAGAAATGCCAGATATGGGTGACAGGGGGATGGAGGCAGCAAACCACATTGCCATGTATGTACCTATGCAATAATCCTGCATGATTTTCACATGTACCCCAGAACCTAAAGTACAATAAAAATTAATTAATTAATTAATTAAAGTAAAATTTAAAAAAAACAAAAAGTTGCATTTTTCCAAAATGTTGATAAAGATATTAGTCCTGCATCAGTCTATTTGTTTCTTAAATATTCCCAAAGCCTGGTTATATTCAATTCCTCAAAGCAGACCTAAGCACTTTCCAGTGAACTGGTAATCACAACTATTGGTTCTGCTTTGTATAAGAATTATTTTCTTAAAAAAAAACCAGAATATCAGTTTATATTCCAAGAAATTCATTATCTCCTAGGCTTATTATAGCTCTAAAAGTCCAAGTTCAAATGTTAGATGAACAAACCGAGGCAAAGTATTCAGCCAGTCTGAGCCTCAGTGGTCATATTGTAAAACGAGCATAGTTATGGAGCCTATTTCATAGGTCATTGCAAAAAGTGACAGAAAAGTACTTGACACATTGCCTAGCACACAGACACCATTCAATGTTTATTGTTAGTCCAATCCCCTATTTTCCAGAAGTTGAAAATAAGACCCAGACAGCATAAGCAATTTGCCCAAAGGAACACAGCTAGTTAGTATCAGAGCAGGAATTTTAACTTAAGTCTCCCAAATCCAGTCCAGCTATCTTACCACCATGTTGTAACAACAAAAAGTAATAGTGGACAAAACAACTTGAAAACACATAAAATTTTATGTACAAAGAAAATTTAAATACACGTGACTATGAGATACAATTTGCTTAAGAATTGAGAAAACTGTTGAGTTAATGAAATGGTCATATTCATGAAGTTAGGTTAACCACACAAAAATGCTTTTAAGTCATATTTTGATGAAAAAATGCAACATGTGGAAACATGAAGAAGACAAGGCAGTCAGCAGGAGGAAGAGATGATAGCAGAAATTTGAAGGATGTCAACAAACTTCATGCCAAGACCAGGAAACAAGTTTCTCTGCCTGCTGTTTAGGGTTCGAGATAATCTGGAATAAAGATACTCAGCATTTAATGAAGAGCCACTATGTGTAAGTTGAACACTGTTCTGGGCTGAACCCAATATTTCTCTTTCAGTCCTCGCAGGATTATCATCTTCACTTCCAGATGAGGAAATGGAAGCTCAGAGTAGTTGAGTATTTTACTGATAGACAAACACTTAAAAAGTGGCACTGCCAACAGTTAAACTCAGGTAATCTAACGTTAGGACCAGAACAAGTTATCATGCTAGAAAGTAAGGCAGGGAGAGGAAAAAAGCAAGGGAAATGATGACTTCTGGATGTTTTACCTCTTTATAGGTTTAAAAGTTTAATGTTGCATTAAAGATGTCAGAAACATAAATTTTGCATGTATGTAAATATTGTATATGTACATCTAAATAAATCACATAGATGACTTTTTGATAAATTGTGAGAAAACTGTTGAAAATATTACATAAAATTTTTTAAGTCAAAAAAACTAAATCGTAAAAACAAAAAAAAAATTTTCCATATTTTACAAGTTTGGTGAACTTTCTGATGCTAAGAATTATTTAAATCCAAATATTCAAAAAGCAATCAGAGCCTGTTTTTTTAAACTCAGTCATATCTGGCTGCATTTATAAATGGCAAAGTTCCAGTAGCATGAAACTAAAGTAGTACAAGGTACAAATGACCCGATAGCAAAGGGAATGAGATATTATATCCAGAGATGTTAGATCAAAAGGCTTAATAGAACTTAAACAGCCAGGTTTAAGGTGTCTATTAAATTATCATCATCTTGCCAAGCTTATTAACTGTATTAGTCCATTTTCACACTGTTGTAAAGAACTGCCTGAGACTGGGTAATTTATAAAGGAAAGAGGTTTAATTGACTCAAAGTTCAGCATGGCTGGAGAAGCCTCAGGAAACTTACAATCATGGCAGAAGGCAAGGGGGAAGCAAGGAATCTTCTTCACAAAACAGCAGGAAGGAGAATGAACAAGGGAGTACCTACCAAACATACAAGTATCAGATCGTGTGAGAACTCGCTACCACAAGAACAGCATGGGGGAAACCACTCTCATCATTCAATTACCTCCATCTGGTCTCTGCTTGACACACAGAGATTATGGGTATTACAATTCAAGGTGAGATTTTGAGTGCGGACACAGTCAAACCATATCTTTAACTATAATGGGGTGTCCTACAAACACATTTTCATTCCAGATCTGCAAATTACTGGCCATGTGAACACAGGCACATTATTTTACTAAATAATATTATCTATTTCACATATAATAATGCATATAGTGCTTATCACAGGACCTGCCAACTAGCCGGCATATCACATAGGTTATGTTTTACTTTGATATTTAAAACGTTTTAAATGCTTCAACTGACAAATTTTAAAAATATATACTTATTTCTCATTCTCTTTGAACACTTCACAATGCATTTGACCCTTCAGCTTTCCTTGAACTTCTCTCCTTCCTTAGCATCTACATCATTGAACTGTATCATCCTTCCACCCACTTTTGTGAATGCTGATATTCATTTCTTTCTGCCATTCTCCCACTGTGGGCTAACCCAAAGAGTAGGCCTTGGCATTCTTTTATCTCATCATACTCTCTCCCCAGCAAGCTCATTCACTGTCATAACTGCCTTAATCACATCTAGGTAGATAACAACTAAATCTGCCTTCATTCCTGTGTCCTTTTATGCCCTCCTTGTGCTTATCCAGCTGGCTCTAGACATTCCAGTGTGACTATCATGCTATTTGCTATCACTCATCATGACTAAAATGCCAGTCACTGTTGACCCCACTGTAGCCTCTGTAAATCATCATCCAACTTTCCAAACAAACAAAAAAATAAACTCTCAGCTGAAGGAGAAAATGAATTTTTTGGAAAGCTATGTGGGCAGCTCCCAGGATCAGTGGGAGGGCTGGAGAATGAACTTCAGAAAACAGGCAGAAACCAAGGGGAGCCAAAACATAGGCATACCTCACCACAGACCCAGGCTGCTGAAGATGCTGCCCTCATGCCACCACCACCAAACACTATCATAAATAGGTGTTGGTTGGACTCTCAACTCTGCCACAAAAAATAGTCCACCGCCCCTTTTCATCGCTTCCTCAAGAACTGAAGTTCCAGATGAGTGTATCCAATGGACCTAGCTTAGGTCACATACCTACTACTATTAGGTCACATACCTAGCCACTGTATGCAGAAGCTTGGAAAGAGATTATCTGCTCCTGAACACACACTCTGGCTCCCATTGGTGGATATAGGCATATTTGTCAGGTTTCTCCAAAAAAAGCAAAATATATCAGATAGATACATAGATAGACAGATTCTACAGAGATGGATATGTATGTGGAAATTAAAAAGTCTTAATTTTGCAGTCTACAAGTTGGAGACCCAGGAAAGCCCGTGGTGTAGTTTCAATCTGAGTCCAAGGGACTGAGAAACAGGAGCACTGATGGTGCAAGTCCTACCCTGAGGGCAGGAAAAGACTAATATCTCAGCTCAATCAGTCAGGCACAGAGACTGAGACAGCAAATTCTCCCTTCCCCTGCCTTTTTGTTCTTTTCAGGCCCTCAAAAAATTGGATGATGCCCAAACACATTGGGGAGGGCAATCTGCTTTATTCAGTCCCCCAGTTCAAATGTTATTCTCATCCAGAAATACTCTCTATGGCACATCCAGAAATAATGTTCAGCCCAGTCTAGTTGACACATAAAATTAATAAACACAGTAGGGCTTGAGTATTTGGGTCGTGAGCAGCCAAAACCAATAAATCTTCCTGCACCTTCATATAAAACTAGCTTTCCCTCCTAACCACCTTGTTTTTGTCATTATCCTTAAATCACTCACTTGTTTACCCTCATCATTATCAATTGGTTTTGGGTATTATCAAAACTTTCCTCATGGTATCTTCTTCACTCTAGTCCAATTTCTCATATGCCCCATATGACACTTTTTTTTTTTTTTTTTGAGATGGAGTCTCGCTCTGTCACCCAGGCTGGAGTGCAGTGGTGCAATATCGGCTCACTGCAACTTTCACCTCCCAGATTCAAGCAATTCTCCTGCCTCAGCCTCCTGAGTAGCTGGAACGACAGATGTGTGCCACCACTCCTGGCTAATTTTTTTTATTTTTAGTAGAGACGAGGTTTCACCATGTTAGCCAGGATGGTCTCGATCTCCTGACCGCGTGATCCATCCCCCTCAGTCTCCCAAAGTGCTAGAATCTCACAGGCTCCATCTTTTGCTTTTCCCCTAAACATTTGTTGTGAACATTTTCATGGACATTTTCTCATTTAGTAATAGTACCCCCATTTCTTAGATAATTATCTTTTCTTCATTGCATCTAAGACTATTGATCAAGGTGAACTCCAACCTCCAAAAGCAGATCCATGACCTAAGGTAAACTATTACACGTTTCCTCTTGAAATACAAATATTGAGCAGACATAATGCAAAATTGCAAATGCTTGTATCTAATTTATTTAAGGTGATGTATTATGGCAATTCTGTAATCTCTCTACCTAGATCCCTGGAGTGCACTTGGTCTTGTGAGAATCTAAGACTGATTCTCTAGGCTTCCCTGATGTGAGTTTCCCCATATTCTTCCCCTCAATAATTTTGATTATTTTATTTTTAGACAGGGTCTCACTCTGTCACCCAGGCTGGAGTGCAATGGCATGATTACAGCTCACTTCAGCCTTAACCACCCAAAGTCAAGCAATCCACCTACCTCAGCCTTCTAAGTAGCTGGGACCAGGTGCAAGTCAACTTGCCCAGCGAATTTTTTAAATTATTTGTAGAAACAGTGTCTCACTATGTTGCCCGGGCTGGTCTTGAACCCCTGGATTCAAATGATCCTCCCGTCTTGGCCTCGCAAAGTGCTGGGACTATAGGTATGAACTACTGCACCCAAGCTTAAAATTACTTTTAAGCTTAAGTTAGCTTTCAATCATAACTCTCTGACTCGTAAAGCACTGCTATCAAATTAATTTTCCTGAAATATCTCTTCAATCATATTACTCTTCTCTTCAAAAACTTTCCAAAGCTACCCATGGAACAAGTAAAAGTCTCAAATGTCCATTAATGCCCTCCATATTGTGGTCTCAAACTATGTTATGGGTTGAATTTTTTCCTCCCTCTACCCCCACCAGAAATTCATATGTTGATGTCCTAACCCCCAGCACCTCAGAATGTGACCTTATTTGAAGGTTGTTGCAGATATAATTACTTAAGATGGCTGAGCGTGATGGCACACACCTGTAATCCTGGCACTTTGGGGGCCAAGGCAGGTAGGTCACTTGAGGTCAGGAGTTTAAGACCAGCCTGCCCAGCATGATGAAACCCCATCTCCACTAAACCTGCAAAAATGAGCTGGGCCTGGTGGTGAACCCCTGTAGTACCAGCTACTTGGGAGGCTGAGGCAGGAGAATCGCTTGAACCTGGGAGGCGGAGGTTTCAGTGAGCTGAGATCACACCACTGCACTCCAGCCTGGGTGACAGAGCAAGACTTTATCTCAAATAATAATAATAATTACTTAAGATGAGTTCATACCGAAATAGGGTGGGCCCCTAATCCAATATGACTGTTGTCCTTATAAAAGGAACACCACTTGAAAAGGGACACATACAGAGAGCAAATGATGGGGAGACAAGGAAATGGCAGCTGCAGGAAACGCCAAAGATTGCCAGCAAACCACCAGAAACTAGGACAGAGGCACAAAACAGCTCTCCCTCGCAGCCTGCAGAAAGAACCAATCCTACCAACAACTTGATCTCAGATATCTAGCCTCCAGAATTGTGAGAAAGGAAATTTCTGTTGTGTAAGCCAGGTAGTTTGTGGTACTTTGTTATGGCAGCCCTAGACTATAAATACACTATCTTTCTACATCTAGCCCCTGACCACTGTCTTACAAAAATAAATTTTTCCAGTACAATAATGACTCACTAGACCATAATAGACCATTTATGTTTTCACCTCTGTACCTGTTACCATGACATGCCTCTCCATCTTGGCATCTTCACCCCATTGTTTTCTTCAATCTTAATTCTATCCAATCTTCAAGACTCAACTATTGTCCTATATCCTGTATCTTTGTTCTATATTTATTTTCCATCTCAGCCAAGCTTCTTAAAGAAATAATTTATGCTTATGCGTCTACATTCACAAATTCTATGTACCCATCAACCTCCAGCAATGTCTTCTATGCCATCATTCTATGGAAACCACCTTCTCTGATGTCTCAAATATCATTTTTGTTGACAAATCAAATAGATAACTATCTAGTATTCATTTTTCTGGACCTTTCTATTCTATTTGATAATATTTGCTACTTCTTCTGTTATGAACTAAATTGTGTCCACTCCAGAGCAAATTTAACAAATTTATATGTTAAAACTCTAAACTCCAATATGACTGTATGTGAGGACCACAGAGAGAAGGTGACCATTTGCAAGCCAGGAAGAGAGCCCTCATCAGAATCCAACCATGCTTGCACCTTAATCTTGGACTTTCAGCCTCTAGACTGTGAGAAAATAAGTGTCTATTTTGCTTAAGTCACCTGGTCTGTGATGTCTTCCTGTGGCAGCCGGAGCAGACAAATGCCTCTTCCTTCTTAAAAGCTTCTTATTCTTTAACTCCCATACTACTACTCTCTTTTGATTTTTCCTCCTACTAGTCTGACCACAGTAACTCAGCTCTCCTTCCTTCCCTCATTGCCCAAATGCTGTTGTTCTCCTGGGGTCTGAATTAGGCTGTCTTCAAAATCTACTCTACACCCCTTCCTTGAATTAGGTCATCCATTCCTCTGTTGTTAACTAATAGTTGTATGATAATGAATTCCAAAACTGAGGTTCCTGAACCTCAGATAT